CATTCTGTGATTCTGTGATAAAGAATATTCCACAGGATGTTCACTCATTGCACTGCTCCTGCTAGATTTGGAAGGTGACACCTATCCATGGGCTAAATCCTTCCACCTCAAGACTTCCATTGAGAAGACTTCCAGGGCTTCCTTTTGCTGGCATGTTACAAAACACAGTGGCTGATGAAACTGAGCAGCGACTTTTTTTTGACACAAACTCCAGCTGCTTGGAAAGGGTGTTCCATTTGAAAAAGCAAATGCAAATTTCCAGGAGCTGCTAGAGCTGAGGAATGCTGCGTGCATGGACGCAACCAGGAGGAGCTTGCTCTTGGCTTTCACCAATGTCATAAGATGTCTTCCCAGAAAAGAAACCACAGTGTGAAGTCCCCTGGCCAACACATTCAGTTCACCTGAAATATTTCTCTTTAGCCTGTTTTGAAGGGACATAATCTGGGGTTCTTGGGGTGTTTTGGGGCAGGACCACTGTTTCCAGTGGGTTTAGATGCCTCTTGCTGCAGATATGCAGCTCCCTTGGTCAACAGGGTTTCCGAGTAGACAAGGTGGCATTGGCCGGGTGCAGAGCGAGTGGCCATGCATGGGCAGGGAGCTTAATTCTGATCCCACTGGAGGTTTGGTGATGATGTTTATTGAGATCACCCTGTGCATTAAATTGACATCTTAATAAACAGGCAATTTGGTTCCAGCTTGCATCTCATTCCTTTGGGTGACCTGCAGGCTCATGAAGAGGAGCTTCAACCCATCTCCCTCAAGACCTTTTTCTGTTTAACCCCTGAGCTGGCATAAGGGGAAGGTGTTTGTTGTCACTTGAGTTGAGCTCAAGACTGTTCATGGTCCTCTGGAAGGAAACACACCCTGGGCTCTTTGAAATTCTCCTTAATAAATGCACTAGCAAGGAGCAAATATTATCAACAGGATGTTCTCAAAGCTGATGGAGTGGCAAATTGCAAGGCAGCCATGTCATTAAAAAGATTTAATTAGTTTGGATGCCTTTGAATAGTCAAGTGTGTGTCATGTATGTCCATGTATTGTGCAGCTCAGGTACCTCATGCTCTTCACTTCAACCTTTCAGCTTCAAAGGTAAGGAAGAAAACCTCTTGTTTTTTGAGAAAAGTTCTAGATTAGATATCAAAAGGGACAACAAAGCGACTCCTGAAATGATCAAACCTTTTCTCATCCAGGAGCAACACTGCTGCCATGGCCAAGCAAGTCAGGAGATGTTTCCAGGCAGAGCTTTTGCTGCTCTACATCCCTCTCTTCTGCACAGACTGTGGATCGCTGTGGGATAAACTTTCTTCCAACTGCCTTGGAGATCTCCTGCAATGCTTCTACCCAGCATGGAACATTAGGCAGTAGGTTTGGAGAGCCCACCCAGATCACCCAATGAAGAAGGTTGCTGTAGGCCCTCGCTCAGGTTGGTTTGCAGAGGAGCTCAGGGCAAGGAGGCAAAGTTGCACCATGAGCAGCTGAAATTACAGGTTTGTACCATTTTGAAGAGCAACAGGACAAATTCCCAGAAGAAAATTTCACTAAGAACCATTCAATGGAAAAACACATCCATTGCTCTAGGACATCCCCAAGTTGCAAAGAAAACACCTGGGGAAAAAGAAACATCTCCAAAGCCTGTAGAATGAAGGTACAAAGCATGGTCCAAGCCTGCCCAACCACCCCAGGTTGAGATGCCGTGCCATGCAGATGGACCCCATGGGAGCTGGCACTGGTGGCATCTTCTGGGAACACCACGCTTTGGCGATGACGTGCTCTGGGAATGAGGAAGCGCCAATGTTTCTGCACTTTTGCTGGGAAGAGGCTGGATGGGGAAAGCCCTTCTTGGTGTAGGGCTGGGGAGGGACCTGGCTGCAGGGAAGAGGGGAAGGAGAGGGACTGGACACGAAGGAAATGCTGGAGGTTTGTCAGAGGAGCACAAAAACCAATTAAATTTGGAAGTTTTCAGTCGAGGTTGACCTGGAACCTGTAAATTGTGTTGCTGAGGGGTGTGGAGGAGCCAAATTGAAACCCAGGATAGGTTTTAAATGGAAAAAAATGCCTTTCCAAACTCGACAAGCTCCCTGATGGAAACGCTGAAGTGAAGCCCCAGGCCAGGGAGGGTTTTCTCTCAAGCAGAACAGTTTCCACAGCTGATGACAGGCCATGCACACCCTGGAGCTGTGACCAGCCTCGAGGTGGCCGTGTGCTGTGACACAAGGGGCTGGGACATGGATGGAGGTGGGTGTGGAATGGCAGGAGAGCACGTGAATGAACCTTGGGCTCCTTGGCATGGGGGGGGCCATGGGGACAGGGCTTGACACACCCATTTAGTAGACATCTTGCCAACTTTGGGCCAATTCTCCTAAATTTGGGCTATTTACCCGTGTGGAAAATCCCTTTTCCAACTCCAGGGAAGGTCAAAGATGATCTATCCATCCCTGCTAATGCCTCCTGCTGCTGCAGCCTCTCCCACCATGGCTGGGGAGCATTTTGGGAGCACCCACTCGGCAAAACAGCTGCAAGAAATCCTCAGTTTTTTCTTGCCAACCTCCCAGTCCAATTCCCTTTGCTTCCAAGACCTGGAGTCATTTAACACCTCTTAAAAAGAGATGAGTCCTGTGGGGTTTTGGACTCTATTAACTGGGGAACAGCAGCACCATGTTGATAACTTCTCTCCTTTTGTGCTGGAGCCTGGGGATATTTTGTTGAGTCAAGACCAGCCAGACCGATCAGCCTTGTCCTTCCCCTGGGTCCAAGGGCTATTTGGGGACTTTGGGTGAGCCTTGGGGACAGCAGCAGGGGTTTTGCTAACCCCAAGG